CTTTCCCCTGGAGCCAGTTGCTCTGTGAGCACTTTACTCATCCTTGGAAAGCATTTTCCCTGCCGGCACCAGGGGCGAGAAGGCAAATTATGCAAGCTCTGGGCACCCCGAGGCTCTGCCTTTCTCCAGCACCAAATATAAACACCAGGCTCCCTGCCTGTCTCTGTCTCCTTCCTTTGGTCTCTCTTCTCCTTTCCTCCTTTCTTCCTCCGGTAGACCAAACTCAGTCATTAGGAAGTTGGGGCAGCTTCCACGGCAGCAGCCTCTGGGGCAAACAGTGTAAACAGCGGCATAAGCTGTACGATGACTCTGTTCTGATTGCTTGGGTTGGGATAAGCCTCACACAACCGGGCAATGTGGCATAAAACCTATGTGCCCACGGAACGGGTCTCCTAAACTAGACATAAAACTTACTCTAGGTGCTTCATTTCAGTGTCACGGCTGCTCCCCTCCATTGACGGCTGCGGCAGCCCCGCGGAGTAGGCGTAGGGATTGCTCATCGTTCTCCTGAACTTAGAGACCGTAGCAGGAGCAACACCTAAGTTAGATACCTTGAGTGGGCGGGCTGACTACACGTTGGCTGTCAACACCTCCTAATTTCTTTCCATTGATTGTTTTTCAAAATAGGACTCATCATGGAGACGCTGAGACATCTCAGCTGTTCAAACTGAGTCTTGCTTTCCATTGTAAGCCCTGTTTTTCTTCCTGCTGTTTCACAACTCTCTCCCCCCTCTAAAAAAAATTAAAAAAAAAAAAAAAAAGATATCACCCCTCACATTGTGCCTCTGTGGATGGTGGCTAGCAGATCATTTTTTTCCACCGACATGAGATGAGGGGAGAGCAGCCTTGCAGCAAGGAACTGCCTGTTATCCTCGGACACGTGTCGCCCTCCTCCCTAGTGATAAGAAAATAACCGAGGAGATGAGTTCAACTGTTCACAGGTTAGGAAGCTGTAGCGGTGGTGAAAGTGTTTTAATAAGAAACCCTGCTACAGGCTGTTATGAAAGCTCTGCTTTTATTGCGGTTTGTCTGTGGGGCCGTTGCCAGCTAGCACAGTTGCGACCGGACCTTGTCAAGTCGCGATTATCTAATAGGACATTTTTACGGTCCAGCCACTTCATGTAGCCTTGAAATATCTTCCCACCGTATGCAATGGTGGTTTCAAACTCTTGTCCTGTGACATCTGGGACATCGATAGCCCCTCAGGCCTCCACACCCACCCCACAGGTCAGGTGAGGGGAAGATAGTCATTCCCATTAGATTTAGGGGTTCGTGGGATAAATGACAGGCTAATTTCACAAAAGGAAGAGAATCAAAGGAGCACCCACCTGGCTCAAGGCACAGCAGTTTTACATGCATGTGCCCCTATTGAGCTCAACACCAATGAGACTGGCCCAGCCTCTGGTGAGTCTAAAGACCTCACTAGAGAAAAATCTGTCCCTGTCTTAAAAGCAGAAAGAGTAAGGAAAAGCAACTGAAGACTGAGTGGCTTGAATATCATTTTGCTCTATTTCCAAGCAGGGTCATAGGTAGATGATTAGTCGAATTCCAAACATCCTCTTCCTCACCGTCTGGAGGTTCAACAGGGATTAGCTTTTTGTTTCTGATGTTGAGCTTCTAAAAACTGCCCGGCATCATCCACATGAAAATAAATAACTCTATTTCTATCCCAGCTCGCATGTAATGTAGCCGGATACTTAAAAAAAAAAAACACACCACACATAGCCCCCCCAAAACCAGGCCCTGCTGCAGCTCTTGTTGCTACCAAGCAAGAAATTCGCAGCAGTCCCTGCTAGCTTACTGCGGAGTTCTTCTCCTCTCCGGCAGTGATATCTCTCCCTGCTGAGGAGTTTAATCAGCCCTCCCACACACAGGCTGTTCTGTCCTGGCCAGGCAGCCACTACGGCATGGGGGACCCCCTACACATCTTCAGCGAGGTGGCCTGAAGGTGGTGGAGGTTATTTGAGGGCAGAGATCCTCAAAGGGCACCTGAGCCTCCATTTACCCCTTATGAACTTTAAACACGTAATGGGGACATGGACATTCGGGACCTAGCTGCCCTCAGCTCCCTCTACACAGATAGAAGGACTTCCAGAAGCTGGTTTGGCCATCCCAAATCCTCGTCTTTCCCGCCGCTGACCACCAGGGAGCCCAGGGCTATGGTGTTCCTTTGGCCAGTGCCATCTGGAGCGAGGCGAGATGGACCTAGGCCCCTTTAAAACCTTTTTTTGGAGCCTCCTACAGATTTCAGAAGGAGTTTCAGTGCCCAGGTAGATGTTAGGGTAGTAGCTCCACCCTGCTGGGGGGTCGGAGCCAAATTGTCATCATGTGAAATGGCTGGTAGGCTGCTGGCGGGCCAGGATAGAGAATGAGGGGAATTCTAAGAGCGTCCTGAGGAATTTGGGGTGGGACAGGGTTAGCATGGCTGGAGCACCTAAGGTAAAGTCCTGTTAAGGTCTCTGGCAGTGGAAACGAGCAAAGGTATGCGGTGCATTTCCACTTCCTCCCACTCGAGCTCCAAAATTGGGATCGAGCCACTTCAGACTCAGTTTGAGGGACTCCCAGGACACTCCTTATCTCTGCACTCATGCACCTCCAACGGCCTGGGCTTTGGAGCTGGCATGGCTCTGACAAACTCCCCACCTGTGGGGAAATCTGCCCCCTCTTCTTCTGGGCCAGGGTGAAGCGCAGTGATCCCTTGCGACCCAAGAGCACCTTGTCACGCTGCCCTACCGTAGGACCCTTCATTTTGTGTTTGAGTGACCTGTATCTGCGATGGGAGGAGCAGAGGTGCTATGCTATTTTAAGAAAGCTATGGAGGACCCCCAGTCTTCCTTGTGTCCCTCTGCTTCCTGACCAACATCCACATCCGTGAGACCAAAGTCAGGTTCAGGGGTGCAGCCGGCCAAGCTGGGAGGTGGTGCCAGATGCCTACTACAGAAGAGCATTTGGTGGGCTGCCTGCTCCTCGGCTCTGGTAGCTGCTCCTCATACCCGGACACTTTGCATGGCGCATATGCGAGTGCTGGTGCGAGACTGTGTGTTTTAGAGAGGGTTGGCTGCATGAGACTCGCAGGCACCTAGATAGTCTCAGGGAGCATGTGTGATGCTGTGAGATGAGGCCACTGGTACGCCGGTGGGTGTACGTATGTGAGAAAGGAAGAGAGAGGGGGAGAGTGAAGGAGAACACATGGATGCCCAGGGATGTGTGAATGAGACAAAATTTGCACATAGCTGTGCATGCGAGCGGCTCGAATAGAAGCGTGTGCGTAGCATAGAAAAAGCAGGGAAGATGCTTGGGATTCAGAGCGAACGCCTGCCGAGCGCCTGCGGTGCATGACGGTGCAGGAATATATCGGTGGATACGAGCCTGCACAAAGATGGTGCAGAAACCCCTCCTGGTCGTGCCTGGAGCGTGCTTTGCGAGTGTGCAACTCCACACCGGGAGATCGCTCGTACGCACATGAGAAGGCGTGCGTACGGGTGTTTTTTCAATAGGATATGACTCTTTCTTGAACTCACCTGTTAGCAGCCTTCCCCTCCCCATCCCTCTCCCCCCCAGCAAATATCTGCTTGCTTAATTTCCCTTCAGATGTTTATTACATCGTGGAGATAATCATGCAGCAAAATACCTCCCGGTGCCACGAGCAACATCAGATTGTCTTGTCGCAACGTTTAAATTTCTCTGGCTTTTTTTTTTTTTCCCCTGCACACAAAGAGATGTAAGATATTAAAGCCGCCTCTCTCCCTGGAGCTAGTGGTGTAGCAGGGCAGGGAAGGCGGCGAGTGGAGCTTAGAGAAATGGGCTCCAGACTGCAACAGCGAGAACCTGGGGCCAAAAAAATAACAAACTACCGTGCCGGGAACTCCTCTCTTCTTATCTCTTGCCGAGGAGGAAGGAATTTCTGTCCCCATTCCTCACGCGATATTAAAGCCACATTATACGGGTTATTACAGCATTAGTAATTTTTAATTAATTTATCATTTAAACTAACACACTTTTTATTTTGTCAGCAATGGATTGCTACTCCCTCACTAGATTTTTCGCCTTGATATCCAGCCAAGAGGATGGCAAGTTATGCTCCACCCATCTCCTCTCCTTTATAAAAGGAGCAGCCCCGAGTGCCAGTTTAGTCTCTCTTGCAGCTCGCAGCCTAATATAAAGACCCATCGGCTCACTCGCCTGCCCTTCGATTTTACCTTTTCTGCCTTTTTCTTTTTTTCCCTTTCTTGTCGCAACAGAGTGCGGGAGGCAGCAGCGGCTCCGCTCTGAGGCTTGTCAAGGCTCAGCGCACACACGCACGCACACACACGCGCGCAACCCACAGCGAAAACATTTGCTCTCACCTGTCTCCAAACCCAAAGCAAACCTCGCATCCAAGCAGACTGCCAACACTTTGAACGAGAAGGCACCCAAGCCAGAACCTAACGTAAGGGGAAGAAATTCAATGTGCAGTAGCAACTTCTCGCTAAAAAGCAAGCGGGCGTAAGGAAAAAAAGGAGCATTTTAAGAAAATGACACCTTAAGGAAGAAGGCTTTATTTTTGGATTTCGTACCAAACTTTGGAAAAGTTTTTTAATTATTATTTTGCGCATCTTTTTCTAAGAACATTGAGTCATTGTTACCTGCACGTAAAATCTTTTACACATATATATTTTAAAAAGGAAGAGAATCGAGAGGAAAAATAGCATGTGGACCACCTAGCAAAAGGCAGTACTGAAGCATCCCTCGCGGCAAGGGGGACGCAGACTCTGGATGCGTGTAATCCCGAGGGACTGCGTTTTTTTTTCCAGCGGGCTTATGAGATAGCACAGAGGCAGGCGAGCCACCAAGAATCACTCCGGTCTCCCCTCACCACCACCACCGCCGCCGCCACCTCCTCTCCCAAGGGCTCCCGCAGGTCTCCCACCAGCAGCCCGGCTCAGAGGGGAAATGGGAACGCGGGGCGCCCTCCATGCCTGAGGCCGGGCGGCCGCGGGGCTGTCTGCGGGAAGCGCTTCCCTCCCGGGGCTCGCCGTCCATGTGCCCGCAGCCGGCGGGGCCTGAAGTCGGGATGAATTTCGGCGTGGTCTTCGCGTTCATCCTCTCCCTGCCCCTGGCCCGCCTGGAGGTGAGTTTCCGTCGCCGGCAGCGGGCGGTGCTGCCGAGCGGGGAGCTCCGGAGCGGGGCGGGGGGGAGAGCGGCGGCGGCGCCTGTCGCCCCGCAGGTGCGGCGCGGTGAAGCCCGAGGGTGGCCGAGAGCCGGCCGCCCCCGGCCCTGAGGGGGAGCGACCGTTGGGGCCGGTTTCCCGCCTGGCGTCGGGGGCTGCCCTCCCTCGGGACGGGCCCCGCCGGGGAGCCTTCGCCTGGAAATGACCCCAGCCCCGTGTGTGTCCCGGGCTGGAGTCAGCGCCAGGCTGGTGGGGAAGGGGACACCGGGCTGAAGCCGTCCCTGGTTCGTGCGGGAGCAGGGGTGCTGCTGGGGAGCCCCGGGGAGCCCGCAGCCTCCTGCCCCGCCAGCAGCTTTGCCCGGCGGCTGTCACCCCGGGGCCGGTGCCAGCCGGCGGCTCCACCAAGCCTCTCGCCCCCTCCGGTTATTTTGGCATCGCGGTGCAGCGTGCGCGAGGCGGGGACCGAGCCTCCAGAATAACGCACGGCATGAAACCCAACGCGACATCACCAAGGGGCCGATGGAGAAAGGGCGGAGGGGCTTAGGGGACAGCATGGCTACACCGACACCGGGGCGGCACAGTCATTCAGTAAGGTGTGTGTCTAGCTGGGGCCGTGGGAAGAGGCAGGAGATGAGCATCTCTGCTGAGCTTGCACGGTCACGCAAGCATCTTGTCCTGCAGCCCTCTGCGTCCTCTGCTCCGGAGGAAGCCAGGCACAGGGTGGTGGATTTGGCTGACGAACATAAACCCCAACCCTCTTCGGT